CTGGCCGCAGCCCGCATGTCGGGGGTGGAAACCGGCCGCGGGCCACGTGTTGGGGCAGAAAAATGGCCACGGACCACATGTCAGGGGCGGAAAATGGCCGCAGACCACATGTCAGGGGTGGAAAACGGCCGCGGGCCACGTGTTGGGGCAGAAAAATGGCCACGGACCACATGTCAGGGGCGGAAAAATGGCCGCAGACCACATGTCAGGGGTGGAAAACGGCCGCGGGCCACGTGTTGGGGCAGAAAAATGGCCACGGACCACATGTCAGGGGCGGAAAAATGGCCGCAGACCACGTGTGAGGAGCGGAAAAATGGCCGCGGACCGTGTCATGGGAGGGGAAATGGCTGTGTATCCTGTTCATACCCTGAGGCGGAGTTCGCAAACCGAGGTAAATTTTTGCGGCCGGAGCTGGTCGTAACCTGAAAAGTTCGTTAACAGAGGCGTTCGTAACCCAAGATTCCACTGTATTAGAATAACCTTATTTTTATCTTGCTGAGTACCAAGTTGATTGGGTTCAATCCTAGGCTTGTATTTCAACAGCTCCAGTGATTTCATTGTGATCAGGCATCTGTAACTGTTTATAACTGGAATCTAAATGATCTGGCCAGTTTTCACTGATATGTATATCAGTTGTTAAAGACAATAGAAGTTTAGTTTTAAGTGGTGTTTTATCCATTTTAGGACATTTATGGGAAAGCTTCTTTTGTTATGCATGTATATGTAAAATAAGTCATATTATAGCAAGCTTTGTTCTTGTTAATAAATTGTGTAAACCTGGATCAGCCAGATTATATTGAGAAATATCTCTAAAATTGCAAGTGGATCAGATGGTTAATGGTTAAACAGCATTAACAAATATGGGCTTCGCTAACAAACATAGCGTGCCATGAATCTTCCCATACAAAGCTAATCTCATATCATGTAGTTACAGTCATTGTTTGTATTTTAATCAGATTCAGCTATTCAACTGTTTCTTTCTAGATCCCAGTCTGGAACAGGCAAAACAGCAACATTTTCCATATCTGTTCTACAGTGTCTGGACATCCAGGTAACTTTCGTAATATATTTGCTTTATGAAGATGCATTTATTATTTTGAGTGGAAAACATTAAGCAATCTTATGGAGCAACAGCCATTTCCCTTTGGATTGCATTCTACAACTATGTGTTTACACTTCCCTTGGAAAGGATGAAACTCTTGATCATGGAGCAGCTGAGATTCAAAATACCTATTTAGAGGGGATCACAGTGTTGAATATCATATATTTCATTGTTTCAATTAGGTTCGTGAAACCCAGGCGTTGATCTTGGCACCTACTAGAGAGTTGGCAGTACAAATTCAGAAGGTAAGTGAATCTTATAACAGATTATTACGTTTGCAAAAGAATGATACACCACTTAAGCCCCTGGCCAATTCTCTCTTTGTTCCAAGTGGCAACTCAATCATGTCACGTGGCTGGTTAGAATCAGGTTGCACTGTTAGATTGAACCCTTAGTGGTTTGTGGTTAGGACTTTAAGGTTGGGGAGTCTGTGTTTACACAGTCTCCCCAACAAAGTGATGCAGCAAATACCCTTAAAGTTAATACTTAACACAGTGATAGTGTGCTCTTCTTATATAAATTCTGAATGCCTGTCGGCTCAGCTTGCTGTTCCTTGAGGTCACTACCTGGGATACAGTGACCAGGTAGGCATTGTGGCGAGCAGCACTATGTGCTGGATCTAACAAAGCCAGGTAAATACCCAACATCCCATCAACAGGATTCTTTGCCCAGATTCCTGAAGCCTTGAGCTGCCTCTACTAACTAAGAGCATTGGTAACTCTCAGGACACATCATGTACAGTTTGCTCTCAACAGTGCTTAGCAGCATTTATCTTGAGTTCCATGCTAAAAGAAAGGTGAGATATAAACACAATAAATAATTTCATGTTATCTGGCAATTATCATATAAAAAAAGAACCCAGAATCAATTGTAATAATAGAAATATATGAATCAAACATTGAGTTAGAAGGGGAGAATGGATTCACATATAGGAGGATTTGCCTGTTCACTTTCTTCTTTCTTTCTTTGTTGTTGCGGATGTCGTGGTTCTTGTTAGGACTTCAATTACAGTTCAGGTTAGAACTCTTGACTCCTATTAGGTAATGTACGAGCTCTTTCTTACAGGGGCTCCTTGCTCTTGGTGATTACATGAATGTCCAATGTCATGCATGTATTGGTGGGACCAATGTTGGTGAAGATATCAGGAAGCTGGATTATGGACAACATGTTGTTGCTGGCACACCTGGTCGTGTATTTGGTGAATATATAATTACTATGTATAATACAATAACTGCATTTAATGTTCAGATAGAACTCTCTTTGGACTGACAATAATTTTCTGTTGGCTTATACTGTAGATTTGGAATCAAAATGGTTTTCTTACTTAGTTCCTTTGACTTTTATGTTTGTATCTGCAAAGATAACTTTTAGTTTTTTTAGACCAGTTGTGGCCTGAAGGGCATATCTGGTTCTAGCTCCCAGTCCACATAGGAGGCAGGCACTGTCTTTTCCCTTGTTGCTGCTTTTGAATTTTCCTCCCAGCTAGCCTTCATGCTGCTGCTTCTCCCAGCTTTATTTCAGACACACACATTTGCTTGATAAGAGGCCATAGAAGCTTCTCTGGTATCATTTCTGATTGATGGTTCAGAGGAGTAATGAGTATTCAATCTGTGGGACAAGGAGTTGGGACAAAGAGTTCTTTTTAATACCTTTGGTGATTGTTTGTTGATGCAAATTTGAAATCTTCCAGATATGATTCGTCGCAGAAGTCTAAGGACTCGTGCTATCAAAATGTTGGTTTTGGATGAAGCTGATGAAATGCTCAATAAAGGTAAAGGATACACATATCCCAAATGTGCCTAGTCCTGTTTTAAAAAATAAAATATGAAAACAGAATCTTAAAGGATACAGAATTCAGTTGCTGTGTGCTGGACATAGTTAAGCATGCACCCAGAGCAAATTCGAGTAGCTTCTTACGACAAGTAAGTAACATCCTATCAGTTGTTATCTATACTATCACTGTACAATTGAATGTCAGGTGCCTCTAGCAAGTACCAGCCTGGGTTAAGCTACAAGCATAGTTCTTGGGCATGGACTACTTGGAGCAGTTTTTTTAATGCATTTCTTCATAGCAGCAAAACATAAAAGGGCTTCCAGATTTTATTATATCATTTACTATGTTGTTTACTTGCCTTATACAGGTTTTAAAGAACAGATTTATGATGTGTACAGATACCTTCCTCCAGCCACACAGGTAGTTCTGATCAGTGCCACTTTGCCACATGAGATCTTGGAGATGACCAACAAATTTATGACTGACCCTATTCGTATTCTGGTGAAACGGTTAGTTATTTTTAAATTTATGTTCCAGCATGTTGGGACTTCCTTCTATATCAATAGTTTTGAATATGAACCCTCTGATAATACTTCAGATCTAAACTAGAACAAAGAGCTTATCTGAACCCATTTCTCTGTTTCTTTCCTGATCCATGACTTGCTACTTAAGTGTTCTTCTTTAACAGTAATTTTCTCTCTTTCTATTGCAAATAACAAGATAGAAATAGTTCTTATCTGCCAAATGATTAGTGTAAAGGTCAGTCCAGGTTAGGGACATAAGAAAGGTCTGGGGTAACAATTCCAATCGTCTAGCTCAGTCCTGAACAAACCCCATTTAGGGGCTTTTTGAGTTCAGGATTTTGCAAACTTGGTAATTAGATAATAAAGGCAAGTTGGGAAAAACTGTCCCCCTTTCAAAATTATTGTCCCATCTCTGCCTTTGGAGGAAGGAAGCTGAAGAATCAGGAAAGTTGTCCCAGCATCACAGGCATATGTCCTAAATGAATATTCCAGATATAATATTACCAGATATTTCTGCCCCAAAGTAAATACACTCCCCTCCTTCCATTTCTGGGCCAGCAGAAGGAGAAATATATTTACAGTCAGGTCCAGAAATATTGGGACATCGACACAATTCTAACATCTTTGGCTCTATACACCACCACAATGGATTGGGAATGA